AAGCCGCGGGGGGGGGCACTCCATATATATTGCATGATAAGTAGTGCACGCGGAGAGACCCCCATTTTCAACCCTAAACTTCCGTTCCAGTGCAGTCTCATTTTTAAGAATATCTCGTCCAAGCCATCACAAGTTTAATAAACCCATGCAGATCTTACATTTTTGCCATTCCGGAGGACCCTAGTTTTTAACATTTCCATTCCAGTGCATCGTACTTCAGAATAACGTTGAAGCCGGGCCATGAAGGCATGCATGCAACGCAATGCCGCATATGGATGGATGGTACAGCTGCTGCTGCTGTTCTTGTTTATTTTACATCCGATGATGAACTCCGTGCGTATTTATTGCTGCTGTAGAATACAGGTTCTCCCCAGGATGAAATTGAAACAAGGGGAAGGAGAGGGGAGGGGGAGGGGAGGAGGAGGGGGGAGGAAGAGGAAAACTAGGCTGATAGGGTCTATGTCCCCCAGGGTACTGCCGGAACATACCCTGGGTACGTCCGTATACCGGAATGTACCCTGGTAACTATCTAGCTGATATGGTTAGGTTAGTGTTAGGTTCGGTTAGGGTTAGAGTTAGGGTCAGGGTTAGGGTTAGGGAGTAGGCGTAGGCGCACTCCTTAGACTCGTTAGTGAGTAAGCGAGGTTACGGTCCGGCATATTAGATAGTAGTATTTAGTACCAGGGTACGTTCCTGGTATACCGCGACCGCTACCCAGGTACGTTCGCGGCAGTACCCTGGAGACATAGACCCCTATCAGCGAAACCAGGGGGGTCCGGGGGCCTGTCCGAATCACTGGCAGCAATGAACAAGTCCGCACCTGCAGCTACAACACACACGCATCTATTGCAGACTGACTATATATAACAACAATATATAGTTATTATATAACTACTATAACAACTATAGCTACTATACAACTATATAATATAACGTTGTTATATATAGTCAATAGGTTCTTGCTGCCAGTGGATCGAATGGGCATTTTGGCCGAGGTGGCCCCTCAATTGCCAGTAGCAGCAGCGCCTCCAAAGCCTCCTGTTCTTCATGTTAGCCATTACCATTAAAAAATTTTTTTTTAAACGTGGCGCAACGATTGAAACGGGGGGGGGGGGGCAGGGAGTTTTCCCAAACGGGGCGGGCGCGCCCCGTTTGCACAACATAAGGAGAAGCCTGGAATATGTGCACATTGTAAAGCAAATCACAGTTCCCCCAGTTCCGGAAACCCCCTCTTTTAAACGTGTCCAGTTCCATAGCATTGCATTTCAACGAAATCCTAGTTCTGGAAACCTCCATTTTCGAACATAGCCATGCAGTTCCAGAGCATCCCACAACAAACATTAGTTCCAGAGACCCTCATTTTCAGGTCTGAGTTAGTTCTAGAGCCCCCCATTTTTGACTTCGCAGTGGCACATACCAACCATAATGTGGGGTGAGTGTCCCCCCCCACCCTGGGGAGTGAAGGGGCTACATTGGTAGAGTTATACTTTTATAGTTGATCTATATAGGTAAACATTGTGACAGCTAGGTTTGTTATGCCAACGTGATTTAAACCTCAATCATGCCTTATAGAGATTATTCTAGCTAAGTCTATGATACTGAGCATTGTACTAAAAGGCCCAATCAAATTAAGGTTTCTCTCTTGATCCTATTATCTATACTTAGTATTACTATTACTATATATATAGACTAGTATATAGTATTACTATTAGTAGTACGTATTATTAGTTTAAACCAGAGTTGAGAAGGATATCGAGCTCCAGCGGGAGAATTCCAGAAAAAGCAGAGAATGACGGAAGCAAACCCGTCACAAGGAGGGCACAGTTATAAAGGCAAGAAATACCATTGTGGCTGCCACCTCTCAAAATTACTTGACAAGAACGAAGATTTACAACATCGTCATTTATTCATATTAACGGAACGAATATTGTAGTCGTGTATGCATGCGGATGTTCTATCGAATATTGCGAATACTTTCTGATATGCCTGAATATGCGTAAAATCTGAATATATACAAATTGTACGCAGATCAGAGAACTGTTAAACTCTTTATCTACGTTACATATAGGATATATTGCACAATTATTTCATCACTCCACACATAAGCTCGCGGTCGAGTCTGACCGCTCGCTCGAGTTGCCAACTCGCAGTTGTCAGTGTAAACGCGCTGCACAGTTTATAGATCGGTTGATAGTGCGTTGGGAAGTTGGTATAATTCGGCAATTCGCCAACTCAAAGTTGGCAGTGTAAACCCAGCTTTACATGATGTTTGGAAGGAAGTAAAAAAATTTAAATCAGGAAAATATTAATTCTAGTGCTTATAACTGACAGAAGCTAGCATTAGTGTAACTCCGAGAAACCGCCCATGCGGTTTTAGCACTTCCCTATAGATCAAAACCTTATAGGTTGATCCTCACGACGAATCACTTTAGACACTTTTCACTTTGAATAATTTGTCTTACATGATCTGATAT